GACTCATCTATGCAGATGGACCATGGAGTGACTTCTAGAATGACTGGCAAAACTACCTTTACCTCAATATACTAAAATCGCCATCGAGGGAGGATCACAAGCTTCATTCACATAACATACAATGTGTGTATAGGCATGTTTCCTTTAGGTGCATGTGCCTTATGCCCACCTCTACATCCCATGACAAGGGTTTCCTATCTCAATATTCATTCTAACCCTAAAAATAGAAGCCCATCCACCCTTGCTCTGGGGGTCACAGCTTTGGAAGCCATTCCCATGTTCTATTTGCTGCAAATTTACTGTAACAACTCCACCTAATGTAGTTTCTATCCTACCAAGGTGTGAACTCATGTTACTTTGGTTACAGTAACAGAATATGACATAAAGCACTTGCTATTGATGTAGAGTTCTCTTTTGTTACAACTGTTGCACAATGAAGATGACAATGATATCCATACACAAGGGTGCCTGCTCACACACATTAGGGTTGTTTTTGTTTGTTTGTTTTTTGAGAAGTAATGCATGTACTGTAAAAGTCACCATTTAAAAATGCACACACACAAAAAAAATAAAATAAAAATAAATAAAAATGCACACAAGGTGGTGCAACCATCACAACTATTTAATTCCAGAATATTTTCAGCACCCCAAAAAGAAACTCTACACCCTTCTACCCTCAGCAGATGAGGTAGCCTGTGAATCACTTAGGACAACTCATGGGAGTGGCAAGAAACAGGGACTTCCATTTTTAAGGAAACGGGGCAAATAATGTTTAACTTATCCTGAGCTAAAAGTGCAGTTTTGACAGGTAACAGAAAATAGGAGAGAATCACGTGTTACTATTTCTTGGCTTAAGTGTGTGACATTAGCTCAGTTGCCATCTACACCTTATCAGGAAATGTGAACAAGTTCTTCATAGTCACTGTGATATGCCTGCCCTGCAACATTGTTACCACATAAGAATCATGAGCAATGTTATAGATACAAGAATGCAAGAGCTTCTTGGGGCACCTGGGTGACTCAGTTAAGAATGCAAGAGCTTTCAATCTAAATTTACATTTCAGCTCCTTATTCCTTTATTAAATTGACTTCAAAATTAACAGAAGTAACATATGCTAACTGTAACACATAAAACTATATGCAGATACATAATGCAAAAGAAGTAATCCCCTCTCCCTATCCCAGATAGGGACTGTTAACAGTAGTGTGTATCTTTTGATACTTCCATTCATTCCGTCAAAAAACAAAATTCAAGTAAATTTGGAGACCTGATTTTGTGAAACAATTCAAGAATTGGGCAAGCATCCCAGCTAGCAAGTAGAGAGGAGATCTGAACAGCTGTACAAAGTGGAAGGTTTTTATAGGAAGGAGGGTGGGGCAAGAAAGTTATTATTAAAAATAAAAACGAAAAGAAAGGATTGTTCCAGACAAAGTCACTTTCCTTTAGGGGGAATGGTAGGGTGGTCTTATCATGCATAAGATCTCATCTTCCTGTGAGGTTGGAGGGCCCTTGCGGCAGATTCATTGGTGCCCATTGGGGAATTTCTGACTCCTTAAGACCTTCTGGGGGAAGGCTGAAACTACAGCTAGATTAAGTAAAGCCCTGGTTTGGGCCTAAGCAACACCATTTTGGGCCTGTGGTTTTCTTTTTTAACAATTCATTTATCAATACTTGTTGAGCTCCTGTGCCAGGCATTGTTCTAGGCACCTAGGATCCATCAGTGAACAAAGCACAGATTATTTTCCTTGGGGAACTTATGGTAGAGAAAGAAGGCATTAAAATACAATTTTTGAAAAGGCAGAATGAGGCAAATATGAGAGTCACAAGTCGATCACCTTTGGGGGATGCTGTCATGGGAGGTCCATCTAAAGTAACTCCCTTTCCTCTCCTGTCTTCTCCCTTACTTGTTGCTCTCTATCACATTAGGATGACAGTATGGTACAGTGGTTAAAAATATGAAATCTGTAGGCAAACTACTTCATGACATTGCCAGCTTTGTGACTTTGTTCAATTTAACTGTTAGCAGCAGGTCCCTTCCTTGCCTCCGTGCTGACCTTATTTCTTGAGTTCAGCCAAGAAGGAATTCAGAGTGAAACCTTTAAGTAAGCAAGAGTTTATTATAAAATCCAAAACTGAAAGTACATCCTCAAGATGGCAACTGTAGTGGGAGTACGGGGGTCTTTTCTTTTTATCTTTGCATGGCTTATGGGTCATAGTGCCTCCAACCAAGGGTGCTTCCCATCATCCAGGGGACTCTGCCTTCCTGTTGAGAGGGGGAGTTTGGGCCCTACAGGGCCCTAGTCAGAACCGTCAGGGCAGCCATCCTCCACAGGAGAGGTGAAAACTGCAATGTAAATGTATAATAATGAAGCTATAGGCTACTGTAGGGCAGCAGGTTATAGGGAAGAATGCATGTTTATCCCCTGGGGTCTTTTCTGGCTCTTTGTGGTCTGGGGGTGATTGGCAGTTTCTCAGATTATTATCTTTTTAATGGATGGAAAGTCCCATTCCCTGATAGTATCCAGCTAACTTTTCACTCTGTCATAACCTCCCTGTACATCAGTTTCCTTATGTGTAAAATGGTGTCGATGTCTAGCTTAAATGAATTAAACTCCAAGGTATGCCTCTTTGGCATATTCAATTATTCTAAACTGATTATTTTTAAGAAACTGCAGGATCAGGAGAAGTTCTGAAAACTGAGTAGAAATTACCCTTTTGTAAGAGATATTTATATGTAGAAGGGAAATCTCCATTCATAAAAGAGAGATGACCCTAAATCGCTAGAAACTGTTATGCATGGAGAAGCAATGGCTTTAAACCTTATCCTTCTTTACTGGGCTTTTCCTGGTAACCTTCCAAAAATGCTCCTCCACTCTACCCCTTCTGTCTTTAACTGGAGATGGTATTTAACATGATGGCTTTGGTCATTCTGGTGAGTTACTTAGTTTTCCTGAGTCTTTCTCATGTGTACTTGGAGGTATACATGTTACTAAACTTTTGTTTGATTTTCTCATGTCAATTTAATTCTTAGTATAGCTAGAAAACTCTTGAAGGGCAGAGTAGAATTCCTCCTCCTCGACATCTTGTTTTATTTTTTAATAGAACTTACCACTGTGCATACTGACCTTTGTTCATTTATATGCTAGTCTCTACTTCTCCCCTTAGCCATCAACCTCCTAAAATTTGGGGCCTATGAGAACAGGGAATTAATCTTGCTTTGTCTCCCTGGTCTGTAGCGCAGAGGCTGGTACACCATCCATGAACATTTGTAAAGTATTTGCTGTATTGAGTAAGTAAACAAGAAGCAAATGTCAGAAAAACCTGAGAAGGGAAGTATAAGGTCATTTATCTCATATTCAGCTTCAGACAACAGTAGCTTGAAACTTGCAGGTTCTTGGTGGTGGGGCAGGGCACTTTGCAAAACTAAGATAACATTTCTAGCATTAAGCTACTCACACATCCTCAAGCACTTAAAAAGAAAAAAAAAAGTTTTGTTTGGGCCCCTTGAGCCCACTTTTTTGCAATGATTATGTCTTCTTCCTTCTTTTCTTAGTGGTCAGCACAGTACATGACACGGAAAAAGTGTATATCAAACATTTGTGGAATATGTCTGTATCATCAGGTTTAAGTTTTGCAACATTTGTGTACTGCTTACAGTGTACAAAGTAGGCCAACAGTCCTTACAATATGGGTATTATGATGTCTGTTGCTGACTTTAAATTATTTCAGTATTGACAGTGTAATATTCTGTGTGGGTTAACTGGTTGAAGCCATGCCCTAGAAGCAGCTAGCATTCTAGTAATCAAGAATTCACACTCCAGAGGTAACTAGCTGGAATCATACCAGAAAGACTACATTCCAGAGATGGAGCTACAAATGCTTTAGCCACTTGGATTTCTGATGACACCGGATGTTTTGCTAATTATAAATGATACGCCAGAATGATGTAATTATAATGAATGCCAGAAATAGGTATTTACTGGCAAAAAATAACAGCTTATTAATTATCACAACAAATAGAAATGCACTCTTCAAAGAATTCAAGATAGACGAACTGTTTAAAACGTCTTAGGAAAAAAAAAATCTTAGAAAAATGTTCTCCACACCTGAATAAACACAGGCTAAAAATTCAAGGTGCCTCAGCCTCTGGAGATGCCATTTGAGGCCGTGTCCCTAATGGTGCTGGCTCTGCCACTGGCCTGGAAGATTTCTGGTTGCCAGAAGCTGAGGACACTGATAATGGAAACCTACCTCTGGAGCACTGTACTTCTGCTTCTCAACTTTCTAGTGCAAGGTGGTTGTCACCCTGCCCAGAATGGTATTCTCCGCTATGGTAGTTACTACCCACAAGGGACTATGGAGCATGAAGATACGGTGCGTAAAAATTCTTAAAAAAAAAAAAAAAAAAAAAGTATCACATTTTGAAGACCGTGCAAAAGATGTAAAATATCTCAACCATTCTGTATATCGGATGAATGTTTAAATGCCACTCTTCTGGATATATTGTGTTAAAATATATTAAAATTAACTTCATTTTTACTGTTTTCTAATGTGGCTACTAAAAAAAAAAAAAATCTTTTGGAGTTACATTTGGGGCTTGAAGTCCATTTCTAAAGGACAGTGCTGACCCAGAACAGAGCGCTCAGCGCTGGTCAAGCTTATCCAGCCTGCTCCCTAATAAATATTTAATACGTTTCTGAATTAATGGCATGTATCTGACCTTTTTTGCTTCCACTCAACCCTATGCAGACATTGTGGAATCCTTATCCATCTTAAACCTCTTCAGCTACCAGGAAGAACCTAAAAGTTTGGGATGATCGAACTATTCAGGTCAGCTGTCAACGGTGAGGTTGCAGAGCATTTAGCAGGGATGCGAGCGGGGAAAACGCAGTTCACTTAGTCGTTTCAAGACTATTAGGTGTATTCCCACAGCGTCCTATTAAATAAGCACCATTAATATTGATAATAGGTACCATAAATAGGAGCACCCGCGATTTACCCTTTGCTGAACCAAGCGTAACTCCAAACTTCCGTCTCAGCGGCTGAAGCCAGAAGCACCTCCAGCGCCGCCCGCCTCCACCAGCCACGGCACGACTTCGGCCCACGCGGCGCCACCAATCGCCGCCGCCGCCGCGAGCGACGTCACTCCGAAGGCCCCGGCCGGCTTCCCCACTTCTTTTCTGCGCCCCGCCCCTTCACGGTTTGTCAGAGGCGACGGCGGCCATCTTGGATTCGGGCGGACATCAAATTGAAACTGCGCGGCTAAAGGCCTAAAGATCAAAATCAAGGCAAACTTGAGAGTTCAACGTAAACGCCAATAGAAGAAACGTTCTCCCGGGCCTCCCGGGCCGCCCGGGCCGCTGGAAGGAGGGAGCGGAGCCGCGACCGGCACCGGCGCCCACACTCAAGATGGCACGGGCGTGAGAGTCACCTGTGAGGCCGCTCTATCTCGGTTCCGGGTTGGTTCAGCTCAGTGGTGGTGCCGGAGGGCTGGAGGCTGGCGTTCTGTCCGGTTTCCGGACCCGTCTCTATGGTGTCGGAGGGAGCGTACCCCCCGAAGATTGTGGGTGTAGTGGCTACAGCTTCACAGGGTAGGCGAGGGTGGTTGGTGTCAACAGGGGGCGAATTGGGGACCGGAGCCAAGACCCTCGGCCGCCTCCCCCGCCGCCCTCCCGCAGGTAACCGGGCGCGCCGCGCCGCGTCCGCCGTCAGTGCGGGGCCGGGCCGGGCCGCGGGGGAGGGGCCGGGCCGGGAGCGCAGGCAGCGGGGCGCGCGCCCCACTCGCGGGTCCGCGCTCGGCGCGGCGCCGCCGCCGGTTGAGCTGTGCCCTCCGCCTCCGCTCGGCCTCCCGACGCTTGTTTCCCGGCGCCTTCTGGGTCTGGGCTCCGCGGGCGACCCCGGGCCGGCGCGTTGCTGCCGCGCAGCCGGGCGCGCGGGCAGGTGTGGAGGGTGAGGGGCCAGCGAGCGGGAGCGCCCCCTCCCCCTCCCCCTCCCCCTCCCCCCCCCCCCCGCGGTGGCGGTGCGACCCCGCCGGCCCCGGGTCGGAGCGTGCGGTGGGAGCCGGCGAGCCGCCTGCGTTCGCGCTCCAGGGCGAGTGCCGGGCCCGGAGGAGGCCCAGCCGCCTGTGTCCTTGCAGCGTGCTTTTGCTTTAGGATAAAAAGGAAAAACCCTTCTTGTTGCCGGAGTGTATTTAGGAAACCATGAGACTACCGAGTGGGTCCTGAGTTCTGGAATCCGCGTTGCGGTAGCTTTTAAGGACCGGTGTGCATACCACGTAACACCTCAGATCCCAGCCGAAATCCTACTTCTTTTGGCCCATAAAGGCTTCGTTGTGTATTGCCGGTCAGCTGGCAAGGCCGGACTGAGCGCAGTCCAGGGAATAGGCGCTTGAAACAGACCAGAGCAAAGGAGGGGGAGTAACGCCGCCACCAGATAACTGGTGATCCACCGGCACAGGCGGCGACCTAAGGACTCACCATGCGAGCCCTTAAGTATCTCTGGAACCTCCAAGCAGAGCGAGCTGGAAACCAAGATCATCTCGATTAATTTTTGAGGAAGAAGAGAGAGTTCCTCGGATGACGTGGGTTTCTTGGTTGAGTGACCTCGACCAGCGCTTGCATAATCCACAGGTGGCCCGGAAATGCGATGTGCTCCCTGGGAAGCAAAAGGAGGGAGGAAGACCGGTGAACCAATACCTCAAGAGAAGGCTTTGATGCCGGCTTAAGTCCGAAACTGCCCGTCTAGCATTTTTGCAATAGCGGGGACGGTAAATTCTGCAAAATATCCATGCTGAGGTCACAGTATTAGACTATCTTTTTGTGGGTTTTGATTTTTTTTTTTCTTGTGACTTTTTTATTGCAAGGCGATCAACAGCACATCTCTTTATCGCCACCAAATAAAGTCTGTGCTGGAGGCGGCCTGTAATCCTACTACCCTGTGAGCATTGCCCTCCTGGAACGGAGCGTCAAGGTTGATCATGCTATCAAAAACAGTCAAGGGGCATCCTTTCTCTCAAGAAAGGGAGACATTTCTTTTTTTCTTTAAGGTTGAATTTCTTCATGTCTTAGACCCAAAATATACACTGCGAAGAAAAATGACCAGCGTGAAGCTTGTAAAGCTTTTGTAAGTCCAGATGCAGAAAAGCCCAGGGTTCCCAGAAAGACGGGTTTTGCTGTCTATAAATGACTACGTAAATGTCCATCGCTGTACCTCTTCTGACTGCCACTCATTCAGCCAGAGCATCGCTCTTCAGTCCTGGTGACCATCTTACCCTCTTTGGGGACTAATACTAAAACTAAACAAGCACCATGATTTTCTGTCAAGAGGATTTTCGTTTTCTTGCCAGTTGCACAGGTGTTGATTTTGGAGAGCTGTTATTTTGTGGCTGAGAGAGAAGGAAGTTAGACTAGCCTCCGATACATACTTTTCAAAGTAAGCCTTCTCTGACTAATCCCTCTAGTCTGACTGGTTTTTCAGACAGTTGTTGTAGAGTTGAGTTTTCTGCTGACAGAGTGGCAACTGGTTTCAAAGAACATGGACCCATTCAAGCTACCTCAGGTCGACCTCCGGCTACCCCTGATTATAGGGGTGTCCACGAGGCAGGGAGGAAACGGATTTGCAGCTGGGCTTCCCCAAGCCTCAAGATGGAGGGTAGTAATGTGTCCCTATAAATCTGACTAAGCTACTCCCAGTGTTTGCTTTTCCTCCTTCTGCCAGCTGCCTTCCTCTGTGTTTGCCAAGTTTCTGCTTGCTTCTTCATGGCTTCGGCTCACCAGAGACCTGACTCGACTCTACCTCATGGCATCCTTTTACCTTTAGCTAATGGAAATATCGCATGTTCATTCAGATTCCTGAGGCAAGCAAAGATCTGGCCATTTTAGCTTTTCATCCAGGCAGTGGGTCGTAGAGATGGCTGACGTGTGAATTGACTGTCCTTTGGCCCAGAATAGGCACTTGACCCATTCACTATGCACCAGAGGAGCAAGACCCAAGTACTGAACATGACCCTCACTGTTTAGCAGTGAGATCGTCACAGGTGGGCAGGGGCCACACCATCTCCACAACAGGGGAGTTAACAATAGTCACTTTTCTCTGTGAGCCTGCGTTAACACTAATTTTATTTACTTGTGGTCCTAGTAGAGATTGGGACATATGGTTGAGATACTTGGCATTTTTAATACGATGTGGTTTTTTTTTTTTCCCCACTGTTCTTAAGATAAATTGCAAAGCATATAGGAGCTCAGTGGATTTGTTGCAAAGATGACTTAGTTCTTATCCTCGGAAATATTCTTGGATTTCGAACAGTTTCATTTTTAGATAGCTTTAGCCCTCATATGTACTGTCTTCCTTATACAGTGATGTGTGCGGGTCTGTAGGCGCTGGGGATTCTCTGTGTTAGGTATGTGTCTTGAGCAGCATTTCATACTTTGGTAACACAAAGTGTCATGTGGGACTTCACTAAAGTGGAAAAAGAATCTAAGTAGTGGGTCTGTGATGATTATTAGGTGTATATTTATTCAAAGGATGGACTTCCTTAACTGAAAATTCTAAAGCTCTATGTAGCATTTTCGGCCATGTTATTTTGAACTAGCAACTTCTTGCGGCATCGCCAGAGTTAGTAAGAACTCTCTTTTGTGTTTTATTTTTTACATCATGGTAAAGCCAGAACTGCAAACTGACCCAAACTTTTCAAACATACGTAGTTTGGCCTATACAGGTTCTAAAAACATTTGAACTGACTTTGAAAAAAAATGGAAATTTCACATAAATATTCAGGCTCTTGGATCCTTATGGTGAAATGCATGATCTGGTGCCTCTGGAGTTGCAGTCCTGATTGGAGCTTGGTGAAGGCCACTCCCTCCGAGTGCAAGCCTTCTCGGTAGGTGCCCGTCACACGTGGTAGGTCCTGTGCTGCTCTCCTGACTCTGCAGGACTACCCTGCAGTCCTGGTATAACTGTGGGAATGTGTCTCCCCATTGTAGAGAAAAAGGTGTTTTTATTGTAGAAGATTTGGGAGGTGCAGGCACATGTGTGTCTGTCCGCCAGCCTGTGAATTACCCATGATCCGACACCCACCACAAATCTCTATTAATACTTACTTGAGCATATTTTTTCAAGTCTTTCTGTGTATGTGTCTCTATGTATATAAATAGGTAGATACATGCATATATGTAGACATAGATACATAATGTGTATTTCTTTTTGAAACAGTGTTATTGAGGTATGATTGATATAGAATAAATAGAACAAGTTTTAAAGTGTACAGTTTGATGAGTTTTAGTATTTGTAATCTCCCTTCACCATAATCAAGATAACAAATGTATCTGTTCCCCTAAAGTTTCCTTATACCTCCCCCTCCCCATCACAATCCTCTCTTCTCCCACCGGCCCCTTACCCTGAGCCCCCACCCCAGGCAACCACTGATTTATCTCCTGTCATTATAGGGTAGTTAGCATTTTCGAGAATTTCGTGTATGTGTGGGGTGTTTTAGCATTTGGGATGATGTTTTGCACAGTTTTGCACTCCCCTTTTTACTCAGCCTGACCAGGAAGAGCACGGAGGGCACTCTCTTTGTTATATTTCCTTTACTTGGTGTTCAGTGACTTGTCTCTTTCCTTTCCCACTGTCAGACTGGTGTTGCAGTGCTTTGCTTGGCCTGTATGAACTCTCCATTTGTTAACATGTTTCTAATCATTGTTAGAAATACTCTAGGTTGTAATGTTCTTTTTTTATAATTTTAAGTTCTTGTAGAACATACAGAAATTTTCTCACTGATGAATAATCAGATTTTGCAACACTTCCCTGTTAGGCAGGGCATGTGAGCCCGCTAGGGAGCACAGATGATCTTATTCTGGTTCTGTTTGCCCTCGCACTCGGGAAGGTCTCCTTAGGGCCGCGGTGTTGGGGAAGGGCAGTAACTGCCTGTACCCGGTTCAGTGCATTTTCTCTAGAGCAGATGGTTGTTAACTTGACAACAATTGCTGCTAACTTGCTGAGCATTTGCCATTTTCATTGTCAGATGGCCTAGTTGATGAGGATCAAAGAAACAAGTGGGTCTGAGTGGCTGGGT